AAAGACTTACTTCATCTGTTTGACGATGGTGCTTTTCCCTGACTCTCCGGCCCCTGAGGGATAAGAGACAAGAAGACAATATAAACAGGGTGTGTGTGTGTGTGTGTGTGTGAGTGTTTGACAGAAAGATGGAGATAGAGTGTCAGAGAGGAGGGGTAGGTAGGGGGGAGAGAGGCAGGGAGGTATGTGCACAGCAGCAGCGGGTGGAGATGAAAGAGATGGACAGAGTGGCTGAAGCCTTTCTTCCTCAGCCTCCATCTTGCAACAGAGTCAAACAGATTAAACACTCGAGGTTAATTTCGCGCAAAGAATCAATGAATCAATGAATCAATCCCAAACCAATGAAGCAGTGCCGCCTGTGCGGGCCCTCCACTGCTGCATGCTGCCATTTTTTCGCCTCTGCTTCCATCTGCAGCTAACATCTCTGGTGTAGATGTCATCTTTCACCGACCCGCTGCCTGATTGTGCGTTAAAACGTTTGGACCAGCTGCCGTTATCTTATCAAGCAGGTGGCTTCAAAACGCTGCAGTAGGAAGGAAGAGCTCCTTCAAATGCTCGATAAAAAATCATAACGCATCTTTGTTCCTGTTGCTGAATATAGTTTGTGACAGACGTCGACAGTTTCTGTCTTTTCTTTCTTTCCACCACCAACCCACACCCACCCACGCGCGCGCGCACACGCACACACACCACACCTTCCCACGGCCCCGGGTCTCATTTCTCAGCCCTGGCGCTACCAGGCGAGGAGAAGCGCATTAACGCCAAGTCTCTTACCGAGCAGCAGCAGTTTAACATCTTTGGCCGCGGTGAGGCCGTCCTCCTTCAGGTTTTTCTCGATGGCTTTGCTCCGATCCAGAGCCGCCCTCTCCTCTGCGCTCAGAGTACATCCCATGGTCAGAGAACACAGCTTGATAGAGTGTCGGTACGGATCCACGGAAGAAAGCGCAATAATTAGACGAATGAATGAAACTTCAATTGCAAATCCTTTTCCTTTCCTTCGCTGGTTTATTGCCCCCCTTTTCTCTGCTCGGGCTTCGATCCCTCTACGATCCCTCTGTTTCTTTCTGGGCAGCCGGGTAGAAGCACCGTTAAAGCATTGAAATCAGGGATCCGCTCGGTTTGATCCACA